TTAAGTTAAACTCTAAAGAAAATGTGATGTGGATCTCTTTTAGAAGAAACTTTTAAATTTAATCCATTAAACTTTGAAAAATAATAACAATAATAATATATATAAAATAAGGTAACTGAATTAAAATTTCGAAAAATTAAAAGTGTACTTACTCGTTTAGGTCCAAATTTCCGTTGCAATGAGGTTAACTGTGAATCCTCCAACAACCTCGTCCTCTTTTCTATCCTTAGTTCCCTTAATACCGGATACGTTGACCACCTGTTGATACACCTGACGTTTGCAAATAGTAAATGGGTACGATATATGTGACGTCACGCACGAGTAAAAAATGGTAAATAATTATTGGTCGGTAGTGGTAACGTTGGTGAAACGTTCTGCTTTGGTTAATGGTAAATGTGTATACCTCGAAAATAATGTGGAAATGATGTTTTGTGCATTGGATTTAAAAATTTTGAGTTTCTTTAATTACCAGAATATCAATTAATTGAAAATGTACGATTAATTTTTGCCCAAATTAACTTTTTTGGGCATTTAAACAGAAGTTTAAATGCCCAAAAATCTGGAATTTCTAAGATAGAAAATGAAGAGTAAAACTGCGATTAATTAATTTCAGAACAGAATTAATAGTGAATAATTTAAATGTCAGAATGTAATTTCAGAATTTCAAAGTTCTTTTTCAAATGTTTAATATAAGTTTACCGTGAATAATTGAATTCGTTCTAACCTTTCATATACATTTTAATGTTTTCGTGTTGAAGTAAACATTCTTTAAAGCTTTCAGTACAATTTTCTATTCTCTTTAATCATAAATAACGACAGTAAAGTGATAAATAAGGCACAGACATACATAATTTGAATAGTTTACTTTGATAAATGTATAAGACTCTACCAAAAAATTGCCTCCTGTATTAGGCTATATCGCAAGTCTCATCCTTAAATGTGTAAGGCTCTATTACACGGCTTCTCCTCAAATGTGATAAATGTAAAAGGCTCTATCCGTTAAACACGGGCCTCATATTTAAGAAGGCACCAAAAACATTTCTTACAAGTCATTCATTGAATTTTTACATTTTATTTCTTGCAAAATTTTATTAATTTGAAAAAAAAACAATAATACAATTATTAAACACTTGTTTGTAAATATGCTAGGACCTTAAAAAAATAAGTGACCCGGGCCTATCTTGACCTCTAGAGGCCTTAAACGTACGTACTGTGCATGTAAAGAAGAGGAGAAGGTTCAAGATGTATCTCGATTTTTATGTTGATTCTATGTTAAATTTTTATTTAAAATTAATTAAGATGTATTNTAAATTTAAATTGTAGTTTAATATTACATTCGTTGACTGATTTATTTATTATGTGTTAACAATTTTATAATACTTTAAATGACGAACATAAGAATTTTAATTGAATGACAATAACTGTAAGGAGTAGGTAATGCCACGCGAAAAGAAACATCTGTGTTATATTTAGTTATATTGCTGAACGGTTGCCAGGTGAAAGAATAATAAGAAATTCGTGTTATTTGTAATAAAATGAAGCACTTTTTAATTATATTTATTCAAATAAAAAATGAAGAAAGTGTTTTTTTAAAAATAGAAACAAGCAAGATGATTTGTAAACATGGCATCAGAAGATTAGGATAGGAGAATATTTAAAGGTTAAAATTCACTCTGTTTACAACTGAAGGGCAAAAAAAAACACACGATACATGATTTAGGTTGAGAATTTTGACACCGAAATGCAAAAATTTCCATAGGAAACTTCAAACTATAGTGTTAAAATAGGGCTAATCCGATAGAAAATGGATAAATTTTAGTAAAAAAAAAAAGCCCAAAACTTTCTGTAATATTGCTTTCACTTCATGTAACGATTACAAATTGACAATATGTTATGTAGGTTAAACAGAGATTGGCTTTCACTTTTTTGGCACGAGCGGATTTAGAACACTGTGGCCTCGGAATAGACTATCCAGAGGAAAGACACGCCTCATTTCTCTCCAAATTAATGTTTTCAATACGGATTGATTGCTATTATATTTTACTTTTAGCAAAATGGTATGAAGTCACAAAGTTCCTTTACAAATGTTAACGATTACATAAGGAATTGGTAATATGTTGAAGAAAATTTTGAATACTTTTACAACCTATTCATTTCGGTTAGTTTATAACTTCTACCCCAATTAAAAGCCTCATAATTGTATAAGCCTCATAATTAAAATTAGAGAATTTTATAGTGCTATGTTATTCTAATTTCTGTTGAAATTATTCCTGTTCAAAATTAACTAAAAACCTGCAAAATCGTTAATGAACACATTGTTGCACGGGCTCTGTAAAGAGCCACGCGTCTGTTCGCGGATATTAATATGCCTGATCATTATCGGTCAATTCCGGATTATCGGGGACCGGATTAACAAAGTTCTACAGTATATTGGAAGAATAAATATGAGGTGAATCACGAATACTACATTAATTCTTTTCAATATGAAATATATGGATTATATATGAAGATATGAACGTATTACAATCAAAGTAACGTGAAATTTTATACCGGTTTTTAATAACACAATGAATTTATCAATATTTATATAGAAATTCTTGTTAGATGATGAAATTTTCCATGATAAGTTATACAATTAATGTGATATTCTTTCAAGAGAAAACATCAAGCTTCAATATTAGTTTGAGGTTTTCCGAACTTGAAATCTTATTTTAAAACAATTTTATGTGTTTATTACGACGTTCGAGGAATGCTTTTATAAACTAGAACACCTAATTCGTGTGGTTAATTTATCGTAAATCTCTTATACATACAATAGAAAGAAATAATTAAAATCCTTTCGTAAAAAACAACGCTCACAATGCGTACTGATAAAACACACATCATCTACTACATATAGGTGCTAAAATAATGCGAGTAACAACGAGTTAATTAATATTTGATAGCCAAGATCCTAAGCTCATTAATATCTGTATACGAAAGAATTACATAGTACAACATTAAAACTTCTTGTATTGCTGGCATTTCTGAAGCATATCAATAAATGGGAAGAGGGGAGAGAGGGATCTCTCTCCCTCTCATATGTAGCATCATCAGAAGCACAACTGATAACTATAAAAACAGGAATATTTTCTTATATTAGAGTCATTTAAACGAATATCTTTCGTTCTTCCTTTCTAATATAGTCACATAAATGTCTCCAAAGTAGACAGAAGGAGTATCAAGATAACCTTATATCACGTTAGTTATCTGCATATCATCCTAAGCAATAAATTAACGTTACTTTTTTTGCCAGGAATTTTTTTCACTCTGCACACGATGCATCAGCCATATTTTGTGTAAACTTTAAAAATATAATTCGAAAACGATCGATAAAAGACATATATTATTTAAAAACAGTTAAATTAATTTATATATTTTGAAAATATGTAAATAAATGAATCTGAAGGAAAAATTCCATCATTTTATCTCTGTTGTAGTTACGGTTCGAATACAAGATTTAGTTATAAATTTAATAATTTTCTTGTTTTACATTCTACATTCTTCATCATCATTCGTCTATTTATACTTTGAAATATATAAGCTACTGCGATCCGAAAATATAAATAGATTAAACATCAGGAAAACAAATTCATTACCAAGACACTCGCTCTTTCTTCTAACATTTTTCTACTCTCAGCGGAAGCCAGCCTCTGTTTTTGCGTAGAAAACATCAATATTTCTTATTATTTTCTTTATTTTTCAATTCATAAATTACTATATATGTTTTTTTTTATAAATAAAATATAAGTACAGTAATATAGAGTACATGCAATCTAAATTTTACGAATAAATAAATGCTCGTTAACGTGTACTCAATTCATAAGTGTACAGCCATACAAGAAGAATCGGTTTCGGATTAACATATGTACACTGTACACTTATATATATATATAAACACATACGCATTATATTACACCTTTGAATGGGTGTATAGGCCTATATACTGATATAAACACATCGGGATTGGTTTCGGATCCCGTTGGGAGCTACCATACTTTTGTTCTATCTGTACCTTTGAGAGATGGGCATAAAATTTATAACGTTTGGTGTATATTTTAAGTGTTACTTTTTTTTATTTATATATTTTATAGGGCATTTTTGCATGTTTTCGAATGTAAAATGATGGTGATGATGATATATAAATATAAATCATGAATGTATTTATAACATTAAAACATGCTTAATTAAGTTATCCTTTATTTCTTAAAACACTTCTTAATTAATTATTAATTAAACTTTTAAGTAATATATTAAAGAAAATGAATTAAATATTAAAATAAGAAAAATTATAATTATAAACATAGAGAACTTCTCAATTACACTTCTCCGAGACGTGGAAAAAGTGTGTACATCACCCCAATTTTTTTTTCTAAACATAAAATTAATGTTTGGATATTTTTTAAGCGATATTTCAAGAGATCGAATAACGTAAAAGTGTTAAAAAAAACTACATTTTTTTAAAAAAATTCCTCCCTTAAAAATATCCATGGATGAACTAAAAACTGCATGGAAACTTTTTAAGCTCTTTACACTCAAACAAACAATTTAATTATAAAAAATTTACTGTTTATTTTACCTAATTAACGAATAAAATATATATATAATATAGGTCATGGTTAATTTTTAAAAAAATAAATAAATAAAAATAAAATAAAAATTTTCTCGTTCGAAGTTTAACGCCTTAAAAATCTAATTATAGTTACAACTGTAGTCCGGAATTAGTTCAAAGCATTGTTCTCAAAGTCTTTCTTCTCATTCTTTCTAGTGTTAGAGAGCGAAACGTCCGTTTACGCTCGTGTTTAATTTTAGATTGTCTAAAATTACTCCACAAAATTTTTCTCTTTTAAGTAAATAAGAAATCCATAAATAGAACTATGAGTAATATATA